TAATATTCATATCATACATTAAGATCATTAAGGTGGATTCAGATTATCATTATCAAGATTTAGATCAATGATAAAATCAGATTTTCCATATGTTTATCCATTTTTTCATAGCATATCTATAGATCATTAATTAGATATCTATAGCATTCTATAGCAACTGAGATTCCACCCACCATCCACGAATCGGGCGACTACCCTCTGGTAAACTAACATAGCTATGGAAAATCACCATTTTTTTAAAGGGAAAATACACTATTTCTATGGCCATTTTCAATAGCTATTTTGACATAACCAGAGGGTAAATTGGGCGGCACCTGCTCAAAGGAGGTCTCGGTGGCCGCCAACATCCAGCGGATCTGCTCCGCGAGACCGTAGCCCGCGAAGTACGTCAGCCGCACCGTGGGCGCCATGGCCCGACTGATCTGCGAAGCGCACGCAGGCAGAACGGAGGGAGAACGGGAAGGGGCAACAAAAACTTGGAAAATGGTGGATTTCACTAGGATTTTTCTGGCAAAATGTGGATTCTAACAGTGACAAAAATATGAAAAAATGGTGAAAGTTGACATGAACCATGCAAAATAGGGTAAAATGTGGCTCTAACCATGAAAAAAATACGGAAACATTTGGATTTCAAAGAGAAACGTAGGGAAACATCGGATTCAACCAGAAAAAATTGGGGGTTAGATGTAGTTGAGAGGTTTTGGTAGAATTTGAACGTGATCCCACCAGACAGAAGCTGGAGATCATTCACATGCATCGGAAATCTCAGAAAAATCGAGCGATACAGTAGTAGTTCGCAGCTTTTCCTGGAAAACTAACACTCCCCATTTTACCATTATAATCCACGTATATGATATTCCCACTATGTTCCCATTATACTACCATTACGCGCAAACACCCCGATTCGCCCACACCCCTTCTATGCTGTACACTGGGGATATCAAACGTTAGACTTTACATTCAATTGGGAAGATCAACAAGGGTATTTAGGGAATATAAATTTCTCACCCCCGTTAAACTTTACATTCATTGAAGATCTTCAATAAGGGTTTAATTTTCCCACCCCCGTTACACTTCTACATTCATTGAAGATCTTCAATAAGGGTTTAATTCTCCCACCCCCGTTTAACTTCTACATTCATTGAAGATCTTCAATAAGGGTTTAATTCTCCCACCCCCGTTAAACTTCTACATTCACAGAAGATCTTAAATAAGGGTTTAATTCTCCCACCCCCGTTAAACTTCTACATTCATTGAAGATCTTCAATAAGGGTTTAATTCTCCCACCCCCGTTAAACTTCTACATTCATTGAAGATCTTCAATAAGGGTTAATTCTCCCACCCCCGTTAAACTTCTACATTCATTGAAGATCTTCAATAAGGGTTTAATTCTCCCACCCCCGTTAAACTTCTACATTCATTGAAGATCTTCAACAAGGGTTTAATTCTCCCACCCCCGTTAAACTTTACATTCATTGAAGATCTTCAATAAGGGTTTAATTCTCCCACCCCCGTTTAACTTCTACATTCATTGAAAATCTTCAATAAGGGTTTGATGATGATGATGATGATGATGATGATGATGATGCTATTGATGCTGTGTAAAAGCCACGCACAGGTCAGGGACCTGTGCGTTGAGATATACCACTTCAAGTTACCCGTGATGCAAAAAACTCCCATTTTTACCACGTTTTCACATCAGAAGATGGCCGCCGACAAGCGCGGGCAAATCAAGGTGTTTGGCCGTACCATTACATGACCCATCTTATCTCCACTAAAAATCCCCAGTGGTTCCCTGATATCCCCAGTGCCATCCACATGCCCCGCACGGCCACCTTTCTGGTGGTGGCCCTGGCAATGACTTCGCCATCCGTCACTGAGGCATGGAGGTGCGAGAGAACGCGGCGACTCTATATATAGTATAAATAGATTATAACTTGTAACATACACATATATAAATAAGGCGTCTATATATAATATATAATATAAATTAATTAATATAATATGGAGAGAATGAGAGAGAGAGAGAGCAATTGCATCTCGAAAATTAAAACCCAAAGGCCGACGATTTCCACTGCGGAAACCACCCCATATAGGCTGTCCCGAACTTTTTAAATATCACCAAATCATACCAAATCTATGTTCACATCATATCTAACAGTGCTGTGGGTCAAGCCGTTGGGTTCGTTGGGACATGATGATTCACCAATGGATGGAATGGGGCACCCCAATTGAAACAGACAAAGCTAACGTTGGGGCAACACCTGTATCTTTTGTCGCCAGAATGTGACCGAAATAGTGCCTCTGGTAAACATATGTGTTGGTTGATGTCGCATAAAGATTAATCCACAGAGGAGAAACTATTTCAATCTATTCATAAACAGTTTGAAGAGTTGCTTTGGAATGATGCCATCTGGAATGACTGAATGGAAAAAATCTTTCATGGGCCGTAAATTGGGACCCCCATACCCCTGATTGTGGATTTGCGTAGTCAAATCCCCATGACACATCTTACTGGCTTCGACTGAAAATAGGCTACCCCATTCCGTCTTCTGGTTAATTAATCATCATTTCCCTATTAAAGTTAGGCTATATCCGGGCGGTATGCGGGAGACTTTCCCATTGTTGGACACATCCAAATACCATATATTGCCGGGTATATATATCCCAGTATATCCCCATAAAATGATTGTTGGTTAAATTCCCTATGCGTTCAGCGACGCATAGGATCTCTTCAGAAACATCAACCGGCCATGCACTTCACCTCCCACGACCACCACCCCGGTGTCCATGGCAAGTGGCTGGCGCTGAAACCAATAAAGTTCGTCGCTTGGTGCAAACCAAACAAGACAAACCTTGGCTGATTCCATCCGACACTATGGACCCCAAGAACAGGGCCCCCATGGGCCCCCTCAAGAAGAAGAAATTCTAGACATCTTCAGGCCTTTTTAGGGGTGCTGAGGGAAAGGGATGCCAGGGATGAACTAAGCCTTGTTTCATTCAGAAAAGATGTCGACAAGACATCACAAACGCAGCTGTTTGGTTTCACCCATCCAACAGTTAAGCTAATGTGAGTAATTAAAACAATAAACCATCCCCCAAATCACAATAAATAGGTGGTATAAACCATTCCCAAATGGGTGGTTTATTATTCTTTTACCCCCATTAGTAAATGTTCAACCAACTTTTATAGCTAATGCCCTGCGGCCCCCACCGCGCCTAAGCACCCGGCACAGCTTTGCGAATCATGTCCGGCTGTGCCAAACAGCTGCAGGAAGGGCAAAGAAAAGGGACCTTTTTGACACGATCAAACCTAAGATACCCTGCAAACGTATAAATATCTCGTGAAAAAAAAATATATAAAACGATGTTGATGTTAAACAACAAAAATTGGTTAAAAATAGACATCCCGCAAGAATCGTTTGTTCTCGGCACGACAGTATATTGATGTACATTCATGCATGTACTCATCACAAACAAATCACACATCAACCACATCAAACCGAAGGAAATACTCACGTTATATTCTTGGTCATGTTGAGAACCAAACATTTAACCTCCTGGAGATATTCCAGTTTGACCTAAACCAACATTAGCCTCTGCCATGCATGATAAAACACGTATACACCTTGTATAGTGTATGATTTACAACAAAAATACATATTTATATAATAATATATATATGTATACAATATAATATAATGCTATTTTATATATATATATATTGATAATATAGTTGTATTATGTGTATTATAATATATACGGTACGTACATGTTTTAATACATAGACCCAGCCCGGGATTTCTCTGCAATTTGGGCTCCTGAGGATCTGAACATTTCGAATCTCCACCTTCGCCGGAAGGTGCTGGTCTTGGAGCCTAGCCCAAAAAAGCCAGGTGCAGGTCATGGCCATGCTTGGGGGTCATGAGTTTCACTGGGATTTCATATGGTTTAACAATGTTTAACATGTGTAAAGCTATCAAAATGAATGATTGAATGGAATTGGAATGATGTTTTAATGCGAGTTCATAGGGTCTATATTTATATAATTATATATATATACGGCAAATGCCTGGGCTTTGCCCGGACCCGCAATGACGACAGGTGACGCATCATCATCATCATCATCATCAGATTAAACCCTTATTGAAGATCTTCAATAAATGTAGAAGTTTAACGGGGGCGGGAGAATTAAACCCTTATTGAAGATCTTCAATGAATGTAGAAGTTTAACGGGGGTGAGGGAATTAAACCCCTATTGAAGATCTTCAATGAATGTAGAAGTTTAACGGGGATGGGAGAATTAAACCCTTATTGAAGATCTTCAATGAATGTAGAAGTTTAACGGGGGTGGGAGAATTAAACCCTTATTGAAGATCTTCAATGAATGTAGAAGTTTAACGGGGGTGGGAGAATTAAAACCTGATTGAAGGTCTTCAATGAATGTAGAAGTTTAACGGGGGTGGGAGTTTAATATTACCTAGTACCCTTGTTGATCTTCCCAATTGAATGTAAAGTTTAACGGTGGTGGGAATTTAATATTTCCTAGTACCTTTGTTGATCTTCCCAATTGAATGTAAAGTTTAACGGGGGTGGGAGTTTAATATTCCCTAGTACCTTTGTTGTTTTTCCAATAGGAATTTAAGGTTTAACGGGGGTGGGAATTTAATATTCCCTAGTACCTTTGTTGATCTTCCCAATTGAATGTAAAGTTTAACGGGGGTGGGAGTTTAATATTCCCTAGTACCTTTGTTGTTTTTCCAATAGGAATTCAAGGTTTAATGGGGGTGGGAGTTTAATATTCCCTAGTACCTTTGTTGTTTTTCCCATAGGAATTTTGTGAAGTTGCATCAACATTTGTTTGGGAATGGGAAACCTCTACGCTGCAACGCCTGGGCAAAGCCCAGGCGTTGCGCATATATATATATATATGTTTAGACTTTAGACCATCAAATGGATCAAAATGGTGAATTCCATGGGATCTGAGCAACACAACACAAAACGCACACAGATCTGAGATTCAATGAATTAGAAGGAACTTTGCAGGAAACCATGGTCATCAAACTGGCCCACCAATTTGAGGATCCCCCATTCTCAGACACAGGAACATATGGATCACATGGGCATGGATGAAGGCCTTCAACGTCCTGAAGGGCATAATCTGCAATCGTAGCTGGGCAATGATTCCCTTCGTTTTTTTCCCTTTCAAAGTTTTTTTCTTTACATATGATTTTCATTTGGATACATGATGAGACATGTTGGTATTTTCCCATATATTTTCCCATCTATTGTTCCAGTTGGATGAGTAGTCCAGATCCATTTTTCACCACCAGCGACCTCAAAGGTGGGCTTTGCAGAGATCCCAGGAACAGCATTGCCGCGCGACGACCTCGCAACGGCGCTAAGAAATCCCCTTAGAAATCCAGATTCAATGGATTGATTTCAGGGAAAATGTACACCGGAAACCAGAGTTATTTTCCCATGAAAGTCATGGGGCTTAAACCTGTAAATTTTCCCGTGAAAACCAATCCATTGATAGATGTGTCATGGTGGAGTTACCCGGCCTGGTAAACGTTTACATAACATACATAACTATGGAAAGATCCACCATTGAAACAATGGGTAAATCCACTATTTCGACTGGGCCATTTTCAATAGCGAACTGTGAAATTACAAGAGGGTAGATGATCCGTGATTTATTCGTTGGTGAAAATGGTCATCTTTTAGCCACATTGAGAATACCGCCCAAAATGTGGGCATAACTAATATGGATTAATTTTATAGTCCCTATGGATTGATGACCATCCCCCTTTTTATGGGAATACGTACGTGTGGCACATTCATCGTACGTACGTGTCTCTAAACAGATCCCGAAAAATTGGACAACCCTGGCCCTGTGTGACGCTCATGTTGGGAGGTTGACCCATGGCGATCTATGGCGATCGATTCCTCTCATTGGGTCGCTCTAAAATCTGCCATGCCTCCTTAACGTTCAAGGTTCCAACCAACCGAGAGTTGTGTTTCTCTTGCCACTTACAGACAATTGTTATCTGCGCAACCTCCACTCACCCAAGTACAGTAACATCATCATCAATCATCACCCCAAATCCGGGTGTGAACTAACCGCAACTAACCCCCTGACAATCCCTGAGCTACCCTGGCTGGGAAGTGTATGATATGCCGTTCCCGGCACTTCACACACCTTCTCTTCGTTGATGAACATGATCATGCCCTGCAGCGGGGACCAAGGTTCTTTTCTAGCCGGCGAACCCCAGGTCCAACATGGGAATAAGGGAAACGTTCCCCCGATGAGAAGCAAAATTCATCAAACTTCTGGAAACAATCACTTCAATCAGGATTTGGGTAAGAATTGAGGTATTTCTGATGCTGGTTGATGCTGTTTCATGTGTGTTTGATGTGTTTGATGGGAGAATGCAGAACTGCGAGACCAGGAAAGATAGGAAAAGGAAGAGACATCATACGACATCCTCAGTGCAGCCACACGCAGTGTTCGAAAACCGGTCGAACTTTGTCTCAGCCCCCTGCGCCATCGGAGTGTTCAATTTGTCCCTTGGAGTGCTCCACACCACTGGCCTTGCAAAATCTCGGCAGCAGTTTTTAATCAGAATTTTATGCTCCCTCCACACCCCGTCCAGTACAAAGAAATAGAGAACCCTCGAGTTCAAACATCATTCAGCCTTTCGCCACATGCACAGAGAATGCTCGAAACATCTCGAAACCATTCAGAAGGCTCAACGGTGCTCAACTAGGAGAAACGAGCTCGGCTCTCGGGCAGTTACCCCGGTGAAACCAACTAGCCTAAAGCATCCCAAAGCCTAAACCTAGATCCAAACCCCAAGCCAACCCCAAGCCTGACCCATCAACCCCCAACCACCTATCTGGTACACTGTTGAACGGACCTTCAACTTGATGTTGCTCCACTGATGCAGCGGCAGCTCCTTCCTTCGGTCGCAAGAAAGACTAACCGACTAACCATCCAAATGGGTCTGAAAATGAGGTATGACCACCCTATATTCGATTTGGAATATGATTAACATGGATTAACCATCAAATATGGTGGGTTTTCCCATAATTTTCAGACAAACTTAGATGAAACTGAGGGTTTTGCCCACACAAATTGTGATTTCGCATGGTTTCACCTGCAGAAAAGGGCGCGATTATTGTGGATTGGTTCTTAAACCTGGAGGTATCACAATTCAAAGATTGACCCAGGTTGCCCAAGCTTCACCAAATGTCAATACATTTCAAGCTTGCAGCAGATATTTTTTCAAGATGATTGGATGGCTCCTTTGGCTCTCTGCATTGTTCCACGCTTTCTGGATTTCTTCTTCGTAAACCATTGCTAATTTGTTCACATTGGCTGCAAGGTCATATATGATCTCATCTGTAGTGTGTATATATATATATATAATCATTATTGAATCATGAATGATGACCTACAAATGATCAATGACTCCTTTAAGTTACATCATGTTATATCCCCAACTCTTCCCAAGTGTGGCAGGTTATAAAGTTATAAATGTATATAAATGCTATGCTCTGGTAAACTAACATAGCTATTGAAAATGGCCATTTCTAGTGGATTTACCAATTAAAAACAGTGATTTTCCATAGCTATCTTAGTTTACCAGTGGGTAAACATTCCCAGAACATATTTCTTCAGTGCCAGCCCCAAGGTTTCCCCGATCAACAACCCATCGGCATCAACGAGATCACTGGGTCAGCCCTGCGGAGCGGCACAATGCTGCAGCTTGTCATAGGACCTGCGGACGCAACGCAAAGCTGACCCAAGTGGTGGTGATTTCATGGGATCCATTTCATGGGGATATAATATCGGATTGCCAACCATATATATTATATTATATTATATCATATTATATCATATCATATTATATTATATTATATTATATAATATTATATTATATTATATTATATATCATATTATATCATATCATATTATATTATATCATATTATATTATATTATATTATATTATATCATATTATATTATATTATATTATATCATATAATATTATATTAAATCATATTATATTATATTATATATCATATTATATCATATCATATTATATTATATTATATCATATTATATTATATTATATATACGTATATATATATTATAATTTATCTATATATATATATTATCTATCCATCCCCATAACTCCAAATAACTGAGTTGGTGCAAAAAACTCACAGATGATATAATATGAGATAATGGGAGTGCCCTCTGGTGATTAAACATGAAAATCCATGAAAACCCGATAATCAATGGGGTTTGAATATGTTCGAATGAGAACAGCATCGAACGGAAGTTTTCGATTGCCATGTTTTACTAGAGGGAAGGGTATTTGTGGGGTGTTTGGACCCACGCATGAGAAACCTTACATCTGGTCAATCAAAATCATCCAAAACATCAAAAAATAATCGACAATGATCAAAAATCAAAAATCATGATCAAACAAAATCCCAAACATCCAAAAATCCATCGGAAAATGGTCAAAAATCCTCCGCCATGTTTTCTCGGTAGTTTTCTGGTGCTCCTGGGGCCATCCAACTCCCCACCTACGATCTAAGGTCTCGTTCTGACCCAGCGCATCCATGGAGAGTTGCAGCTTGGTCCTGTCATCGCACCAGTGATAGAAACCTCTATGGATATAGGATGATATAGGTAGGGGAAATATAGCTGAAAGCCATAGAGTTCTGGAGGAGAAATATTCGACATATGATGTTTTGCTCGATTTCTATAGATTGAACTGTGGTTTTGAGCAAATCTGAGCTGCAGCTGGCCCACTTTCTTGGGCAATCTATGGACCCATAGCTACGAACCGCTCCAGCTTACGTCATCTGGTTTCTCCCTTTTAAAGGGCCAGACCCAAGTCCATCCCACTGTCCAAAATATCTCAAAATATCATTCCCCGAAGAAACAACATGATCAACATGCACAAACTGCTTAGTCTTCCAGCTTCGAACTCAGCCAGGGCGACGTTCCGTTGGTGAAATACGCGAAGGGTATTCCTGGCACAGAGGCGGAGAACAAACAATTGCAGGTGGCAGCAGAAAAAAGCTGGACATAGCGGGAATTCAAAATCTAAAATTGTCACTTTTGGTGGATAGAAAATTGATGAAAATTGATGAAGCTATAGGGAGAAACATGTCAGACCTCAAAAGCAAAAAAATCATAAAACATCTTTCGACGCGAGTCGATGCTGCACATGGCAGGAGCACGGTTTCCCACCTGGGCAAACAACGGCAACATTAACATGGGGACATTTGGATCGGCGTTGGATGTCCCAAATTGGGTGGTTTTATCCAACCTGAGCATGGTGTGGTGATTGGATGCAACCCCAAAAAATCTACAGACTCACGGGCAGCGTGAAAGAAGAAACATGGAGAAACTGTTGGGACTGGTTTCGGGCCGATTCACTGCTATTCTCTGGTGAGTTATAAAAAAATATGGACAGGTCTTGATTGTTCGATCATGGTTTGATTCAATGGAGAATTGCAAGGAAATGGTTCTCCGGAACACCTCCCGTAAAAGGACATCAATCTATGGAAACCCATCAGTGTTTCTGGAAAATGATCTATACATGCTGGGTGTTCCGCGAAAAAAACGTGACTTTACCGGCTGCCAGTGCCATCCCCTTAACGCAGCCAACCTGGCAACAGTCGCCATTGCCAGTGCCATCGGTGATGTGTAGAATTGACGTACCACCTGGGGGAAGCGGCTGAAAAAGTTCCGGATGAAGCCACAGTGAGGAGATATCCCATCCACTTAACATGAATCACCACCCCCATTGCTGGGTAATGTGTGTAAATCCCCTACTGAACCATCGTTTCTGGGGGTGTTTAATCTTAGGGGATGAGATTAATCAGTAAATCTTGGGGATTTTTACAGAATAGATTTTCTGGCTGCTGGAAAATTCACAATTTCTACAGTTTGATTATTTTTCGAGGGGATTTCCCAGCCATATTTGATGACCGGAGGGCAACCCTTACATAAAAATTGTAACAACGATCGAATCTAGTTTACAACCCGTTCATGAATGGTTAATATCTACCTGCATAGGTCGTAGTTTGGGGTTCCATGTTGAGAATTCAATATCTCATCTTTACGCAGAATACGGCAGGACTTTTTGCGAGGGTTGAGGACTGACAAATCCCAACATCAACATGTCCATCCAGGTCTCAAATGGATGCGGACAGACTCCTCATGTTGAGGAAGGTTGCGGACAGAACACATAGTATTCTCAGATTGGGATAGATTGGGTACACAACGGTACATACAAGTCCCAATCAAAACAGTTTATTACCACTGACACGAATAGCCTTCTGGGAAGCCATTGGCCATCAACCATCAACCCCCCTTTTCAGGAATCTCGAAGGGGGTTATGCAGGGTCACCCATGGGGTCCCCCTGGGTTCCACGCAAGTGTAGAGACTGGAACAATTGGAGGTTGATGGATAGCTGACTGCTTCAAACCTCGGTTCACATGGGGATTGAACTGTCAAGAACAAGGATTTAACCAAGCAACATAATGGGGCTAAAACAATCATCAACCACCCGTTTGGGAATGGTTTATACATGTTTATACCACTTATTATTTGGGCACAATTTTGAGCCACGGAAGATTGATGATAGATCTGCTGAGGTTGGCAGAAAGGTATCCACCGCGGCAAGCACCTTCATTCCATGGCAAATCTTTGATAAGCTGCGCGCAAAACTTGGATCATTTCTGGTTGGTGGTTTTAACCGTCTTGAAAAAGGATTATCCCATATATTATGGAAACAAAAAAAATGAAACCGCCACAATTTTTCCCACAATTTTCGGACTGTGCGCATGCTCAGTTGAGGGGAGCGATGCACCTCAAACACTATCCACATGCCTGGCACCTTTAGCGCAGGTCGAGACTCATTGTTGGGTCCTGCACTGCAACCGGCAACGCAGTGAGGACCTCCGCACTGTGAATACATGGCCCTGCAAGCTGACGCATCAGCCACATATCCACTGTCCGCAGTGCCATCGAATCCCACGGAAGAGAAACAGCTGGTAAAAAGGCTTGGACCATCTCTGTGCGAGGCTTCGTCTGCTCCAAAGCCACAGAAAAACCTGCTTCTCGCATGAACGTCTTCAAGAACCTTCTAAACCAGCGTACTCGAGTCCGGAAAGGAAAAGCTTCCGCCGTCAAGTAGGGTCTTTGGTCAAGGTCGACCCATTGCTTTTGAACCAACAACGGCCCAGGGTTTCCCCACGACAACTGGTAGTCGATGTATAACTGGACAAAGGACACCCAGACAATCGAACCCCTGTCAGCTGGAACCAACCTTGTATGAAGCCAATGGGCTGCACGCCTGGCATGGCTTGACCCAAACGTCCTGGCAAGAACTGGAGGAACCTGTCCTGTCCAAGCTCCACGCTCAAACTCCATGGCAAACTCGCGGGTCACCTTGGGCGGCTTGGCGGCCGGAGCAACCACTGGCACAGTCTTGACCTGCCGCTTGCTCACAGCCATCTGAAGCGCATGCACCTGCTGAAAAATTCTAGCAGCGGCCCCTGTAGCTTTCACATGAGCCTCCCATTGACTCCAAAAACAAGGAGGTCGAGCCTGATTGGCCAACCTGGCAGCCCTGTCAACGTAATTGTTGTGAAAACATTGCCAGGCATCCTGCACACTGCGTGCATTCTTAATGTCCCTGTGTGCTGGAACTTTCTGCAAACAGATCTTGTCCTTGCCAAGAGTTGCAACCGAGTCAGCAATCCAACGCCATAAATCGGAGTTGGGTCTGTTGACACTGATACGGCGACGACCCCAAAAATAATTGTAAAACCTCAAAACCACACTCTGACAGTCTGTCCAGATCTTCACCGGCGCCTGGAACGCAGCTGCCCAATGCAGTACATAGGCAATGGCAAAGAGTTCTGCCCGGTAAGCTGTTTGACACACACCCGGAAGAACAGAAGCACAAAGCACAGAGGCACGGCCAGGAGTCCAACCACGATCACAAGGCGGAGCAAGAACAGCAGCCCAAGAAGCCAAACGGTACATAGGTTCAGAGGAATGCAAACATGAACCATCAGTAAACACATGATTCCACGTGCCCGGCAAAAGTCCACAAGTGGGCGGAAGCACATCAGTAGGCAGGCTGGTAAGGGTCCGAATCCAATCAGTCCACGTAGGAGGCAGCAAGGCCCACCCCCGCAAAGCCAAAGCAGGGGGGATAGACTCCAAGTGCAAGTGAGCCTCCGGGGCAAGGGACTCCCTGAGGTCGGCATGCTGGGGGCACTCCCAATACCTGTGGCGTAAGTGGTCAGGCTGACCACACCAAGGGCATTCATCAGATTGCTCAGTCCATTTGGATTTGTAGCTTTCAGTGAAAAGGGACCCCGCCAAGCTCAGCCGAAACAAGGCTTGGTCGTCAGCAGAGAGCTTTGCCAAAGCGCGTCGGGTAGACGCCACATCAACCTGCCACAGCCCATGGAACTCATGACGGTGTTGAACCTTCGAAGAGACAAGGTGATTCCAAGCCCATTGCAGCCTGAGCTCAACCTCAGCAGGATTGGAAAGAGAGAGCTGAAATGAGCCAAATTGGTCGACAAAGGCCCCATCAAGCGCGACAGTCAATCCCACATGCTGAAGACGACCCAACACAATAGAAGCAAGAGAATTGGGGGGTAAGTCCAAGTCCCCGGCAGCAAGCGGCGCAACAACAGACGACCAGAAGTCAGCAGCACATTGTTGACGCACGGCACGACAAGTCCACAGCAGGGCAACAAGTTGGGGGTCCACGGCCGGCTCAACCAACCCAAGCAACAGAAAGGAGTTGACCCCAGGGCGCTCACAGCCCAAAGCTTTGGTGGCCTTGCGACGCAGGTCAGTCCAAATGTGTTCTCCGAGGGGAGCGCTGGAAATGGCATGAAGGCCACGCGGCCATGCAACCGACCTCAACATCCAAACTTTGGCAGCATATCTGGCTTTACTGGAAGCAAGCTTAGGCCAGAAGTGATCAAGGGCATCCAACCGCTGGGTCACAGTGTGGTTTGTGTGGCGGCGTGAAATGCCAAGGTGACCACCCAGTTCACGAGCTTGATGCAAAACTTGGAGCCCCCCGGTCCGCATGACACGGCGAATCTCACCAGTAGTGGCCCACCCAAAAGTCTTCTTCCGATCAACTGTCAGGTCAAGCAAGGAGGCAAAACCTTCCAAAGCTTCAAGTTGGCGAACAGCCACGTCATGGTCCCAAGTAAAGGTCTGCCAATCGTCAACGTAAGACAAAACCCGAACAGAAGGCACCTGGATACGCATCCAACATGCAAAAACATGGTCCACCAGCAGCATACCAAAAACGCTGAGTCCACACCCTTCAGCAAGTCCAGTCGACGTATGGAAACCAGCCGACAGGGAATCACGGACTTTGAAGTGCCTGCACATACTTGCCAACGCACCAGCCCAAGCAGTGGTCACTTCAGGAGGGGTTCCAACCAAGACAGCAAAGCACAAGGCAGGGTACCTAGGTATGCAATTGAAGCATTTCTCGATGTCTGCTGACACCCCACACAATGGTCGTCCAGCTGCATAAGCTGCTTCAATTTGTTGCATCATGAAGTGCCACAAGTCAGCGGCCTGACGACCCTGTCTGTTGCCAAAGACTCCATCATCCACCCATGCTTCTGCTTGTTGGAGCAAGTACCTGGATTGGACACTGGACCAGATCCTGTACGGCAACCCAAAGATGGTTATGGGGCGGAATTCCTCCACAGCGGAGGCACCCTCTCGTTTGGCAAGTGACTGGACCTTTCCGGCAAGAAGTTGTTGGGGCCAACTTCCATCAGATTCGGCACGCTGAATCATTTGGGTCAAACAGTCCAAAGTGCCGGGGTCAGCTTGAAGTAAATCCACTCGGCTGACCCCATCAAGCCCAGTGGCAGAACGCTTCTTCTTACGCTGGCATTCGGCAAGGAACAGTTCAGGCGTGACCTGAAGGTGAGGAACAGGAGCAGGCCGCAGAACATGTTTGGCAAAGTCGATCACTTCAGTCCAGTGGGTGAACGGAACCTGATCGTGACGACACCAGCGTTGGCGCCACTGCTCATGAAAGGCAGCAAAGATGGTTGAGAGGTCACCAATTGGTTGGCGTTGAACAACCACAGAACCGACTTGGCAAGCAGCTACATCTTCGACCCAAATCTTGTCATGTTCAGCATGAATCACGTTACATTGCTGACCTGCAATCCAAACCGGTAGGGATGGGGAAAGTCCAAGAGGTTTATCCAGCACAACCGCACTTTCGGAGGCATCAACTTGTTCAACAACTGCGGCAACGGAATGCACCAAGGAGTCGACAGGTGCAGCAGACGGCCTGGCAACTTCCCTGAAAACCAGATTTCTGTCCTGCTCATGTTGCGCTCGGCGATGGGCAACTCGAGCAGCATTCAGTCGGCTCTCAAGGAGTCTGACTTCAGCAAGAACAGCATCATAGATCTGATGGGCCACATTAGACGGGGGGCAAAACTGCGGAATGACACACGGATCCAAAGGACTGCGGTATTGACGACAAGTCCACCAAACAGAGAAAGAAGGCGAAAATCCAGATGCCTTAAGGATGGAAGTCCAAAGTCCAAAACCGTGAAGGGGATCATTACACCCAAGGCGTTGCTTGTTGTCAATCCATCTGCAGTAGTTTTGCAACCTTCTCAATTGTCGAAACTGTTTGGCATGCATAGCAGAAAATCCAAAGAAGGATGGCTGCACCTCATGACGTTTGCCCTGTCTAAGGGGGGCCTGACGCCCAACAATCTTCTGCGGCTTGGTCTGTTGCCCACAACCTTGCATAGAAGGGAGCCAGTCAGGAGCCAACGCTTGTTCAGCTTGGGTCTCACGCTGAGCCCAAAGTGCAGCATACTGAGCAGTAGGATCGGCAGGACTCGCAAAAGGCACAAATTCCAACAGTGGAGGCACACAAGTCCAATCAACTGGTTTGGGACAAGGCCATGGAAACCGTTCAAGCTGTTGGGCCCCCCCAGCAAACTCCGCAACCAAAAGAGAGTGATCAGCAAAGGTGGTGTCACAAAACTGTACCCCTCGAAATCCAAGAGCCAACTCAGGGGAAAGCCACAGAAAGTCCTTGTGTGACACCTGCTTGCATGTTGGCCTGATGGGGGCCCCAGTTTGAAACTGATGAAGTTCCTGCACTTCAACCCAGCCTGCTGCACGAAGCTTGAGAGTCACCGCCAAGGAGTCCAATGTGAAATTCCAATCACCGCACATGAACCTAGGGCCAGGCATCGACTGCAGATGGTTGAAGGCAAAGTCAAGCATGAGCTCTGTCTTTTCATGCGCCTGGTGATGGGTTTTGCCTTCGGGGTACCCATACAAAACTGCGCCTGAGACCCAGGAAGCTGCTGTGAAGAAGGAGCCAAACTGGAGCCTTCCAGATTCGTAAAAGTCAGGAGGCCAAGGGGTGGCCATGGTTCTGCACGGCACTGATGACAGATAAGCTACTCCAGCCCAACTGCCTGCATCACTGGTGGTACGTGGGGAGACAGGCGCTCCCGTCAAAACATGCTTGAAGTCCGACTGCATAGCCCGTAGGCTGGATTGCAAATTACGTTTTGAGCCCTTGGTGAGGTGTGTCTCGCTCACTGCAAGCACTGTGGACTTGATCCCGCCGACTATGTGGTGCTTTGCTTGCAATCCGGATGGATTGCAAATCCCAATCGACCAAGCAGGTTCAGTGTCAGGTCCTGGAACACGTGCTTCCCCAACGCGGCACATCAACAAGGCAAAAAGGCAAAAGAACGCCCGGAATGGTCTAAAAGACCAAGGGGTCACCCTGAGTTTGGGCGAGGCATCAGGGCCCCCAATTTTTCACTCCGTTCGAGGTTTCTTGGAAAGGATGCTTTCCAACCGAGTCATCTGGTCAGTCAGCATGTTCTGCATCTGCTTCGACTGAAGGTCCATCTGGACCAGCATCTGTTGCTGCAAAGATTGGACCTGCGCAGCACTCTGGGCATGGTTGTCTTTGACCGTAGTCTCCAAGTTGGTCTGGCGACTGGTCAGCATGTGCATCTGCTGTTCCAATGCGGTGAGCCGCTGGTCGTGCTCGTCAGTCTCCATCTTGTCAGGCCCAGTTGGGAGCTTGGCCAACAGGGTCTGCTCCAATCGCTGTTCAAGCTCATGGATAACATGTGCCGCAGGCTGGGCAGGAGCCGCAGGTGGAGCAGCTGCAATGGCTTTGGACCATGGGTCTTGGGTCAACCACGGGTCAGGTGCAACAGCATCGGACGCAAGACAAAGCTGGACGGTTTTGGCCTGACCAACAACCTGGTGACCCGGCTCTGACAAACCAGATATGCCATCCCGAGCGGAGATCACGACCTGGCCATGTTGCATAGTCAAGACATTGGACGGAGGATCGGTCACAGCCTGGATCGACCACATCAGACCTCCGGGCACATGAGACTGAGGCTGCAAAGGCCGGCACTCCCATCCTCCTCCTTTCAATATCTTTGCAAGGCTTCGGCGGTCAGTACCATAAGGCCAAGGACCACAGACAAACAGGCGACGGCTACCAGGGGCCAGAAACACTGCATCGGGCTTGACATTGGTGAAGGTTTCTTGAAAGTGGGCAACTGGCACCCTCAACCCAAACCGGCGACCTGTCCTCGCAAGGCCAAGGCAATGGACCTGGCATTTGGCTTTGTGGGTAGCACCTTGGAAGTCCGTTTGGGGCAGCCAAATCACCTGGAACTCAGAACTGGGTTTCATGCCATCTTCTGTCCTGGGCTCTATGTACAGGCCATGCTGCCCACTGAGTCCAAGCACCTGCATTTCCAAACCCTTGACGTACCGGATCATGACAGAGAACGATTCAGCTTTCTCCCACTTAACAGGTCGCCCAGCCTCAGTGAAGAACTGACGTCGATACACATCCAGCAGGGCATCATGCGTTTGGTCATCAGTCGGATGCCAGCTGACACATGAGCAGGCTGCTCCAGCACGACATGTCTGCAAACCAGGCAACAGCTGCAAGATGTGCTTAACTGGTTTGGCAGCAAAGTCTTCCCATGACCCTTCCCATTGATCTCTGAACACAGTAACCTTGGCACATGCGACCTCAACCGCAAGAAGTGCAGGCAGATTCCTGGCTCGGAACAAGGAGATCATCTTATGCCCCAGCTGAACTAAGACACCAGACAAAAGCATTGGCTCATGGTTGGCAGAGCACCGGGCAGCAAATCTCACAGTTGACCACGGCAGGGCAGTCTGAAAGTCCACAGGTGGCTGTAAAACCAAAAGCGCAAGTCCAGACGGAGTGACAAACTTGCCAGCTTGCAAAAAGGGCAGAGCTTCCTGATAGTTAGCCAAAGCGACACCGGTGGACAAAGGGCCAACTGACGCAAAATGGATCTGTCCCACAGGAGTGTCATCTTCCAAGCAGAACGTACCATGTTCAACTTCAAGCTTGGCAGGATCCAGCTCAGCAGGTCGCGTGGGCTGGAGTTTCTGACCATCATTGTTGGACCGTTTGGGCTTGGGTCCAGACTTGGCTGCAGACACCTGTGCTAATTCATCAGGCAACACAAGCTGCAAGGGCGGGGATTGCTGATTGGCGAGTGCTTTCAAAGACTTCCATGGAGCAACTCCGACAACTGCTTTCTGAACTTCATTCCTACCAAGCGACTGCAGGACAAGTTTGGCACGGACAGCAACCTGGGCAGGAGGGACGCCATGTGTTTGCAAAAGGGCACTGACCAAAAGGAGGACATCAGGCTGACCAAGACCCCAACACCATGGTTTCGGCACCTCAGTGGCCGCACGCAAAGCAGCTTCGAAACTGGTCTTCAATTCGATGTGCAATTCCAACAGCTCTTCACAAGTCTTGGGCAAATCTCGGGCAAGGAAGCGGTGGGCAAAGAAAGCAATGACCGCACTGCCACAGCACTCTTTTGAAAAGGTGCGCCGAGAACAGGCAACAGAGAACCTCGGTTTACCCCAGGCCTGGCTGATCATGCCATGAAGAGGGCAGAGGAAGTCCACTGCAAAATCTTGGTGTTCCCAAATCGAGACATGCACCTCTGTCAATCCATCAGTCCAAACGACAGGAATCCAATGGCCTTCATACAACACCGCGCTGGCAATGGTTGAGATGCCAGGGCACTGAGCCATCCAATCTTTGACCTTGTCAGGAGAACCAAGTTGCAACCATCCAGTGGCCAACAACGGGTCCAGAAAGCCAACATCAGACCGCCCAGACATGCGCACAATCGATTCAGCATGCAATGTAAGCTCATCATCTCCCATGGCTGGACATTTCATTTTGCAAGATGGCCAGTCGAGATTCAAGCCTTGCAAGCGTTTGATGCAACATGAGGCCGGTCTGAACTTCAGTAACCAACGGGGGAATCAAAGAGGCTAATTGGACTCCAGACAAATGCAAGACTCCGGACAAAGTGTCAGGCGTGGAATCCACAGGGTGCGTAACCAAACTGCTAGGCAACGGCACAGCACAGGGGGAGCTAAGTCCAGAGCTCAAGTCCATCAAATCCACATCCCCTTTCAAATCTGCAGCACGTGAAGGTTCATTGGGACACAACCGCGCAGAATCCAAAAGAGCACCAACACCTGACATCATACGCAGACAGCGCCCGGCAACAAGATCCGATTTGTCCAAGGGAACACCAGAGGAGGCATCACACCACTGTCCATGCAGGCATTGATGCGTCAGGCTGGCCTCAGCTTTGCACAGGTCTTCCAGAGTGGAGTTGGCTTGGACCAAAACACGTACCTCAGTATTGTCAGGGTGCTGCAAATGAACCCAGAGGTCAGCAGACACGGGAGCAGGGAGATTGGGGAACATGTCACGAGCACAGACAAAAAGGTCACGCTTGAACTCATGCAACAACTCCAGGGGGTCTGTGACAGGCATGTTGAGCACTCGTTGCACTTGACTCAAGACACAGGCTCCTACCCACAACGATTGCAGTGGACTGGCTAACTGGCCGATGGCACACAAGCACAACTTCAAGTCCGGCCTGTCAGATGACATCCATCCTGCAGGTGGAGGCATTGCATTCAGCAAGGCAAGCTCACATGGGTGAAAATGTCGGTAGCATGGATGGCCTTCAGGTACCTGAACAGGAAGCAACTGGGCATAAATACCTCTCTGTTGAATCAGGTTAGCACTGAACTGCTGTTGTCTGCAGCCGCAAGGACATGCCGATGCTTGCGATCCCCATGCATGTAAACAGGTTGGAAGCTTGCCATCAAGTTGAGTGACATACTTTCTCAGTGCTGATCCATCCAACGTGAACTGCTGAATCTCATGTTGTGTCAACATCAGCTCATGCATGACATCGTCAGGCCATTGCTTGACAAAGGGCATCAAGTCACGGACATGCAACTTCGGACTCAAAGGCCATGGTGGGAGGGAGATGGGACCAAGGCTGGCATGAGCAGCAACTAACCACCATCTATACCTCCGGGCAACCCATTGATCCTCAAGCTTCAACGACACTTCCGTCAGGGTGTACCCGAGAGTTTCCAACATCTGGACCTGAGCTTTGACAAAGTTGTTTGTTCGTGCCTGAGTCACGCATTCAATGATCAACAGAGGCGACTGACACAAGTAGCATGCCTTGAGCGTTGCAGGCAGGGTGTTGGACCTGACATCTTCTGACCCAGACTGACTGCCCCCGGAGGAGTATGGTTGACAGGCAATTCCAGACATAAGGCAGAACGGAGGGTCCACCTGCTTCATCAAGTCACGAATGCATTCAGGATCATTGATGTCACCTTCAACAACTGGAACCCCTGGGTGCAAAGACCTGTGCAACTGGACAAAAGGGGCACGCCACTCAACACTGGCCGCATGGGAAAAACCTGCAAACGAAAGTCCAACACTAGAGCAAGCTGCACCAGCACACAACTCAACCAGACGGACCATTTCTTTGACAGGACGCAATCCATGGGCGAAGACAGAAGTGGAGTCAGTCAGCAACAAGTCCACCACACCAGGCATGTCACGGGGAAAATCCAGCACAGCACCAAACACGGACATCCTGCGACAGCCCTGAACACCACCATCAATGACACCGATCAACCTGATTTTTTGACCGTCAGGCACGGAAGCAGCAAGGATTAGTTCCGGGGTGTGTGTCAAACAGTCAACCACAACAGAAATCTTTGTTCCCCTCTCTGTAGCAAACCAGTTAGGAATGAAGAGGTTCGTGGCATCGACATGTTTGTCCCATCCCAAATCCATGGCAAAAACGAAGTGAAACCAAACAGCTCAAAATTGGTAAGACCAGCCCACCGCTGATCTGGGAGGTTTTGAGCCCCGGGCTAAATGAAACCGCCAACCAGTATAGTTTTTTAGCCGTTCTTAGTTGGTTAAATAAAAGTCGATGGTCCCACAGAATCTGGTTCCCCAGATCAGACTTGGTGTATCAGTGTATCTATAATCTATAACATATTAATTACCCCGTGGTAAACGTTGCCATAGATGTGGAAAACCCATGGGGAAAACCATTCGGAAAATCAATCTACATTCATGGAGATTTTCCACATCTATGTTGGTTTACAGGAGGGTATAGGCCCTTCCCCCAATATTTGTATACCCCAAGCAAAAGCCTAGTTAAGTTTGGAGTCAAGTTGGGCGTGTTAAATAATTATATATTGGCTATATAACCCTCATTTCGGGCTGGTTGTATAAGCCATGGGAAACGCCTCATACATGATGTAAAAACGGCATTTAAAACCACCAAATGCAGTAAATCCAATCATAAATCACCCCAGTAACCAAACCATTTGGGGCTCATGTTCCATCATCTCCAATAGAGGTACCCTGCGGTAATCAAACATGTCCGCCATTTAGTTCGATGATTTTCATTGAGTGTCCCACTAAAACCTCCATGGAACCAGGTGATTTCCATGGATTTTTCAGCAAGCCACGTTTGAGTTTCCACCGGAGGGTACACTCAACTTGGGGATGGACGGTCTGATGGAGAAGGTGAGTTCGAAGTTGCTGTACCTCAGCGAACTTGGCTCGGGCGGCCAAGCCATAATTGATCATACCCCAGTTCAGACGTTCCATTGAAACAGTACCCAAAGAAGTAAACAACAAATAACAATCACATAATTCATAATTATATATAACTAATGACATTTAATTGTGCTATACACTAGGTCACTAGAACATACGAGTACTATAGAACAAACATCCAAAACTGACTTTCCAACATATCCCCTAAACTGGATCTACATTTGGTAGAACTTTGTCAAAAACCACCCCCAATTTTTTCCCGTCCCCGCGCACGTGTTCACCTCGAAAATTGGCGGAGGACGGCCGGTGCCTCCCACGGTAATGCGATCTTCAAGGATGACCTGCGGCTCCCAGCTCGCCACTGGGATGGTTGGGATGGGTTTTCTGGTTGGTGGTTAAAAAACCATCTTGAAAGATATGAGTTCGTCAGTTGGGATGATTATTCCCAATATATGGAAAATAAAATTCATGTTCCAAACCACCAACCAGACAAAAATTGGAGTTCAATGAGTTGTGGATATATGTGCTTTGCCGACACGTCAAACTGCTATATATACTTCTTTTGTCTTTCGGATTTCATGCGTTTGAGACTGTTTTGGGAGAGGCCCTTGTACATGTTCTCTACTGATGCTGCCCTAGTAAGAAAATCTTGAAACATCAATCATGTTGCCATGCCATCTTCTGGTCTCAAGCCGCAACATCGTCTAAAAAGGATTTAAAGCTCTTGCCTTAGGCGAAGGGCCGCCCTTACCTCTACTGGCACGACAAGGCAAGCCATCCCAGCCCCGCAGTTTTCCAGAGCCTGCTGATCTTGTGAGAGGTGGTAGAGAAAAATGTCAAAAATTCCCCCAAAGCACATGGTGTACCTGGTGCAGCCGAATTGAAATCTGAGTAAATCATCAGGAGGGGTGGTTTCCGTGAAATGTGTGATGAACTCAGCAGCTGGTAAGCGGACACGTAAGTACCAAATGAATATCAGACGGAAGCAACCAGGGGACCAGGCCTTACCCAAACTCAGCTGGAATGTCTTCCTTTATCATGGTCGACTTTAGGTACCCAGCAAAAGAGCTGATTTCTTGGCACGCAAAACTGAGGCTTACCGGCAAAATTGTGCCAAAATGTCGGAGGCTTTCTTTGTAGCTACAAATATGTACTCCCACGACACGTCAAGAACTGGTCTAGTTGAATTTTGGACACACCTTCGGCGTGAAAGAAGTCATCTCTTCTAATCCCTTCCACCTAATGGTAAATCAAATCCAATGGTTCAAAAGGAATAGATCCAATACTAAATCAGGGTTTTGTTTGGGTTTGTTTAAACATTATGGGGAAGGGATTGGCACAGAACCTTGGAATGCATAACTATCTTCATCCGAAGCTTTAAGACCACATGGGTTTTCAACGGAGGACTCCAGCATCCCTGTTAACCCCCAGGAACCATGGTGGATGTGGGGAAATAAGGGGGTGTTCAGTGTTCAGATTCTTCCAATCCCACGGGGTACAGGGTCATGTGAAGGAAGTTGGAGAGGTAAACCAACTTCTCATTTCTCTTCCAAACTCCATTTCGGTAGGACCTCGACGGTGCACAGCTTGTGGCCACTCCAGTCATGGCAGTTGAATGCCCCCAGTCATGGCAAAATCGTGCACAAACAATTCATGTTGAGCAGGCTAGTTTCTAAGTTTCCAGAAAACACTCCAATTCATTCACTGCCATTCACCTCCATAAAGTGTATCTCCTATGAAGTGGTCGAAACTGGGGCACGAACTGCTCTCGGGGTTCCTGTAGGGCATGAGGCAACTGCTTCCCCATGATTTCATGGGTCCCAAAATGATCATTCTAACTGTTTCTAACTACTTAAGACCCTCCACACCACCGAATATATAACAAATCCCAAATCCTGATTGGCTATCATATGCTATCATTAAAAGTGCCAAAATGGTGGCTCTTCCATGGCCACAAGTCCCAAAATGATGGGTAGATTAGCCCGTTCTTAGAGGTACCCAAAGAGGGGGCTCGGCAGAAAAGCTCCTGATTCAAGGCCTCCCCAGTGGCTGGGCTTTCCATTGCCTCGGCCGGTACTGGGTTTAACTTACCCAACGAAAAATGTGGATTTTAAACATCAAACATGTGGATTTAACCTACTGTACGTATATACATGAAATGTGGATTTAAAAAATCACAAATGGTGGGTTAACCATCAAAAATATGGATTTAAAACATCAAACATGTGGATGATTTAGCCAAAAACAAATGGAAAAATGTGGATGTGGGGATCTAAATGCGACTTATGATATGTTTCTGCTGATTTGTAACATTTTGTAACTAGTTTACCTGGGATTGATTTCGATCATCCAGATTCATCCATAGCTAGATTCGCTAGATGGGTGAACGTAAACCAGCGTCAATAAGTTCTGTTCCATCCAAACAAGATTCCGGAAGGATTGAAGGAGAGCATGTTTCTTGGGATATGGAAGCTTAAGGTGTACTCTCATATAATATATATATACACAAATATATACACAAATGAAGAGCCACAAATCCGATTTTAAGAATAAAACATGTCCCCAAAAAAATCCAAAACTGTCCTCGATGACTGGGGTTCCAATCCAGCAAATCACCATTCCGTGCGCCAACAACGCATTGCTGGTGAAAAAAAAATTGGAAGGGGAGAGGGTAACCTGAGTCTGCTTGTTCTTCCTCTGTTTTGTTTTTGGGGGCCTTATATGTTCTATTGGTTGATAGTGGTTGATTACGGTTGGTTGGAGGGGATATGGTGATATGATAGGGAGTTCTCTGAGTAGTTCTGAGTTCTCTTGTTTTTTCTAAATGCACTTCTCTTGTTGTGAGACATGGCGATGACATGGTTAGAATTGGTTAGATCTATTAATTAAGTTGTTTGTGATCCGTAGAGACCATGCAAACTCACTCCTCTGGAAAAATTGGAACAAGATGTTGGTGGCTTGTCACAATCGTATCGATCTGAAATAAGTCACGAGGTTGTTTTCTCGGCACAGTATATGTATGCGATTCACGTCGATATACATATCCTGGCTGTGCCTTGGCAAGATTATATAGCTGGGTTTCACGCGTGACATCATATGGCATATGGTCTGGATTGAACGCCAAAGCTCAACATTGCAGAGGAAGCGAAACATTCATTGACTTGACAGAAGACTCTGTGCCGCACTCAGCCATGGTTCATGCAGAAACCGTTGGCAATGTGAGTTGATTTCGCAGACTTGCACGGTCATGGCCATGGGATGTGGTTCCAACAGAGGCGCAGGAGCATGGAAGATCATCCCAGTTGCTACCCCCTCCAGTAATTCAACCTGGCAGTTTGAAATCCAACATGCTTTTGATACAATATTCATCTAAGTCTATATATATATAAATGAATACTTAGTATTATTATATTTGTACAACGACAAATTAGCATCTAAAATCTATATTTACAGCAAATCGTCAAGGGATGTTCGCCATGTTTGATTCCCACTTCTTTAACTGATCGCATCTGATCGCCCACACTGGCCATGACCTTTTTGGAAACGTCGTTCCGGGGTTCCGCCGAACTCCTCCACTTCGGCGGCTTCGGCGTCCTGGAGACACCGACGGCAAAGGCATGGCCGCGGAGCTTCAGGTGACGTCGTTCTGAAAGAGTCAGTTGAAGAAATCCTGCGGATTTATGCTGCTTCAAAGGATTTTTTTTGCTAGAAACCATGGTGTTTACATGTGTTTACCATGAATTCGGTGCAGAATTTCCACATCTGCTGACAGCCCTGACATCATTCAGCCAACTGACAACCAGCTTCGAGGGCTTCACTCGAGGTGACAATGTGGGGGGAATCATAGGGTTGACACAACCCAACGGCTGCTTGCTTTTCCTTTGAATCATGATTTGTAAATTTAACAACCCATAGGATCCATGTATGGTATATATATGCTAACATGACTGGGGTATATTGATGGTAAATGTTACCATATATAGCATACATGGATCCTATGGGCAATGATTACCATGATTATATTTTACTAATATATACTAATATTATATATACATATAATTCATCATGATGTACAATGATTTACACATGATTTACCATAGTTATATATACATATCATATAATATTATATATAATCATGATTTACCAACATTTACCATGATTCACCATGATTTACAATGATTTTTCATGATCTAGCATGATGTACCACATTCCTGAATTTGTTAGCATCCCAAAATTACTCGCCTTCCCCGGCTGAAATCGTGCGCAGTGCTCGCACCAAGACTTCGCCAGTGGAAAAGAGGACACCCACAGCGCAGTTCGGAGCGCAGGAGTGCTGTAAAAAGGAGTGGAACTTGTAGATACCAGAAGCTCTTGGAACCTGAGATTTCTATGGTAAAGACATGTAAAGAGACTTCACAAAATTAACAGAAATTGGGGAAATTTAGCAGCACAAATCGTGGGCCATCCGCGGAAACAGCCAAACAAATGATCACCCTCAACAAGAACTACTATGCCAGCGTCGACAAGAAAAGAGTTGCGTCAGGAAAGTGCTTACCCTCCGGTAATCAATCATATCAATCATGGTTGCTCGAAAAATCCCACATGATAGATCATTTTCCCACTTGTTTTCGGGGATTTTCCAGCCTCGTTTGATGACAAGATATGACAAGAGGGAAGTCGCTTGACGTCGCTTGTGGCGTTCCAAGGAACAGGAAGCTGGCAGTTGCTCTGCCAGCGAGCCAAAAGCATGGCAATTTCCTCAGAGTTCTCAGACTTCTCAGATGCTTGCGACACTGCGGCTGCTTGCTCCAAACACGTCCTTAAGGGTGTGACGCATGGAACCCTTCCCAAATGCTTAGAACCGAGGAGAATTAAACCAAAACAAGTGGTCAAACAGAAAAAATCCATCGCCCGACCTGTGCCAGATCAGCCCCTCCACCAAAACATTCTGAAAGCAAGTCTCTCTTGGGTCTCCAATCCATCGGTCACAAAACTTCTGAAAGGCCTTCACCACCGATGGCTGCTGGTGGGAACATTGATTCAGAAAAAAAACAATGCTTGGATCATGTTGGATAACTGAAGTTTCATGTTCACCAGTGATCCAACATGTATCCCACAGATGGATAGAAAAAGGAATACCATCTGGTTATGACTAAACATAGCCATGGAAAATCACCATGTTTAATAGGTAAACCATCTATTTCTATGGGCCATCTATACCATGGCTATGTTAGTCATAACCAGAGGGTACATACTTCACCATATCTCAAGCACCAAATCATCTGACTTTGGATTTCGGGCCGCCCAAAATCCAATCATCTCAGACACTTCGAGGCTAGCGTCACAACTGGGGTTGGATTCCTGGTCGCCATTTTCAAAATATTTTCCCATCTTCCAACCACTAATTCTGTATTTAGACTATTTAGTATCACATGAGCTTGGCCAATATTTGCAATCATTTCTTGTCATCCTAACTCCAAACCTGTGTTTTCCCCATTTTGTGCAAATCAAAGTTTCTACTAGTAAAATCCCTGTGTCAATCACACCTCAGTCTGCAAGGCACGCCCAGCCAACTTGGTCTGGACGACGTGTAGCTGATCCGGGAGTTTATGGCCCATGACAGCTTCGGGGCAAAGATAGAAATCCACCTGCAAAGGAGCGGAACCTGGTGGAAAGTGGCATCAAGAATCACCAAGAACTGCCCTGTCCAGTGAAAGCAAACTTAGCGATGAACAATCATCGGAACATCATCATCTTTGATCGAACGATCTTCACAAGTAGGGCAGTTTTGCAATGAAAAAGCGGCCTATGGACCAAATATTTGGTCAAACTAGATTTTCTATCCTTAAATTCCCCAAGTCCCCTGTCGGTCAAATCCTTCACTACCCACCTGAAACTGGTCCCTCTCCGCCAGCCACATGGCCCCATCTCCACGCAGCTGCCACTGGGACCCCGCGGCCGTCACCTCCCAGGGCTGCGCTGTGCCAGGGCGGCTGGAACTGTGGTTTCGAAAATTGATTGTTTCTTCCTTGCCTGCATCCTTGCAGTCCTTCTTGCTCTTCTCCTTCCCTCTCTTCCTTGCTCTGCTCCTTCCTGTCCTCCTTGGGTCTCCTCCTTCCTCTCCTTCTGGCCATCCTCACAACATTGCTCTCCAAGCCTTCCTTTCACAACACCTTCGAAAACTGAAGCTTCTGGGCTTGGATCATGAGATTTGGCTTTTGCTGTCCAAACATTCCTTCAAAATGGGGCTTCCGCGGAAGACGGCACCGGGGCCGTAGAGCAGCAGGGAATGCGGAAAATCCTGAGTTCAACAGCGAATAGAACGAATAGATTAGATTGGACTATGAGTGGACTATGATTAGATTAGGTCGGCACATCGCTTGTGCCTCGGGTTTTTCCTCGCTTGTGCCTCGGGTTTTTCCTCGCTTGTGCCTCGGATGTAGTTCCTAATGGCTTCTATGTATGTGGCTTCTATGTACCTAGGATTGTTGCCTTCCAGGTGCGAGGGTGCGAAAGTTCACTCACTCTGTGGCTTCCATGCGTGGCTTCTAAGTGTCTTCTAATGTGGCTGCTAATTGTGGTTTCTAAATGGTGTCTAGCTCTGCGGCTGCCAATGTAGCTTCTAAGGATGGTTTCTATGTAGGTTTTCACTCTGCGCCGTCTAATATGGTTTTCCATAGTGGCTTCTCATTGTAACGGGTAAATGAAATGGTTTCTATAAATATGCGGCTTGCAATGTGGCTTCTATTAGTGGTTGCTCAATACGCGGCTACTAACCTGGCCTGCTATAGTGATCTCTAACAGCGCTGTCGAAGTGTCTTCTAAACCTGTGGCTTCTAATGTGGCTTCTCCTTGTGGCTTCTAATTGCGGCCTGCAAAGCTGCGGCCTCCAATATTCCTTCCGATCCTGGCTTCTAAGTGGCTTCTAAATCTGCGGCTTCCAATATGGCTTCGGAGTGTGGCTTCTAAGTGTCTTCTAAATGTGGCTTCTAAGTGCGGCTTCTAAAGCTGCAGCTTCTACTGAGCCCTCAGATCATGGCTTCTAAGTGGCTTCTAAATCTGCGGCTCTGGAGGGTGGCTTCTTAGTGGCGGCTTCCAAGGTAGCTTCTAATTATGGTTTCCATGTAGGTTCTAAGTCTGCGGCCTTCAATATGGCCTTCTACAGTGGCTTCTAGTGGCTTCGAATTGTGGCGTCGAAGTGGCTTCTAAATCTGTGGCTTCTAAGGTGGCTTCTAAGCGTGGCTTCTTAAGTGAAAGCTGCGGCTCCCGATGTGCCCTCCGACTGTGGCTTCTAAGTGGCTTCTAAATCTGCGGCGTCTGCGGTGTCTAATATGCCTCCGGAGTGTGGCTACCAATTTCTAATTGTTGCTTCTAAGTGCGGCTTCTAAAGCTGCGTCTCCCAAGGAGCCCTGCGATCGTGGCTTAAGTGGCTTCTAAAACTGCGGCTTCTAATATGGCTCCGGAGTGTGGCTTTTAAGCGTCTTCGAAATTTACGGCTTCCAATGTGACCTTTTGGCTGTGGCTGCTAAGTGCCTCCCAAATCTGGGGCTCTCAACATGGCCTCTAACTGTGGCGTCCCAGTGGGTTCCAAATCTGCGGTTCCTAATGTGGCTTCAAATCGTGGCTTCTAAGTCGCTTTCAAAATCTGCGGCGACCATGTGGTCTTGATAGTTGCCGTCCCCCAGGTGGCGTCTAGGTCGATGGCTTCTATCTGGCTGTCACGATCGTCGTCCACGTGTGATGGCTTCAAAGTTTGCCTGTTCGATGGCTTTAATATCTGGCAGCTATTTGCCTTCTAAGTGTGGCTTGTGAGTTGCTTCTATATGTGTGGCTTCTATGTGGCTTGTGCGATTGCGACGGCTTGCAGGTTTGCCTGTTCATTGGCGTCCATGTTTGGCGTCTCGGTGGCCTCCAAGTATGGCTTTGACGCGTCTTCTAATTCTTTGGTTTCCATGTGTTTTTTTTCTTAGCGGCTCATGAGCGACAACTTTGATCTATGCTTGCAGCGCGACTTCCATGTTTGGTGTTTCAGATGCATCGTTTATGTGGGTTCATCTTATCTTTGTTGATATCTATCGATACTTGTGCCTATGCGCTTCTTTCTTGGTACGCATTGCGGGGGGAGGCGCTGCGCCCTCCCCCCTGCACCCCCCCACCCGCTTTTCTTTTTAACCGGCTCCCCTTGCTACCTACTATTCTTTTGTTTTTTAATGAGCATCATCGTTTATTTGGGTTTATGTGTCTTTGAGCATGCTCTGGTTTGGCAAGAAAAGAAGATTCCCCTCGGATGTCATGGGAAGGAGGTCATTGGAGGTCGGACACTCGCTCCCGACGCCGAAAATCAACTCGCTTTCAATGCCGGAAACATACTCGCTCCCGACGCCTCTTTACTTACATCGACAACATGCACAACATCAACAACAAGAACAAAATCAACAGCAGTCTCAACATCCACAACACAAAAACATTAACAACCACAACAACATCATCAACATTCACATCAACATCAACGCCAGCATGAACATCATCAACAACAACAACAACAACGACAACGACAACGACAACGACGACAACGACGACAACGACCACAACGACCACAACGACCACAACGACAACAACGACAACAACGACAACAACGACAACAACGACAACAACGCCAACAACGACAACAACGACAACAACGACAACAACGCCAACAACGACAACAACGACAACAACGACAACAACGACAACGACGACAACAACGACAACAACGACAACAACGACAACAACCACAACAACAACAACAACGACAACAACCACAACAACAACAACAACGACAACGACAACGACAACGACAACGGCAACGACAACGGCAACGGCAACAACAACAGCAGCAGCAGCAGCAACAACCGTAACAAAAACGACAAAAAACAAGAACAAAAACAAGAAAAGCAACAACGATGACGACGACGACGACTACTACGACAAAAGCCGACAAAAGCCTACACAAGTCGACAACAACAACAACAACGACAACAACATCAACTTCAACAACATCAATTTCAACATCAACCGCAATACAAACATTTACTAGCACGCGCTCACTGACATGCTATGTCGGAGGAGTTTCTACTTTTATGTACGCACTTATATTTCACATCCTCCGTCCCCTCCTTCGCTCCGTTCTTGGTGCGGCGTTCCCCCATGCGTGCGTTGTGTCCGCGTGCCCCCTGTTATATATCGCAGGTATTATGTTGCAATGCGTAGGTCACGGTAGGGCTGTGCCGCGTGGTGAGCAGTTAATTGATCTTTAATCTGATAAGATACATAATTTCATGGCTGTGATGATTGTGTTTCTGCCAATCCGTTTGAACATCACAACGAACCACAAGTTTAACTAAAGAGTTAGAAGGCAAGAGGGGGGGAAGTTTAAATAAAGAGGCAGATTTTAGATCATGGCATTGCGGAAGGCAAGGGGGGGAAGTCTAAATAAAGAGGAACGGTTAAAAAAAGAGGTAGATTTTAAATCATGGCATTGTGGAAGGCAAGGGGGGGAAGTTTAAATAAAGAGTTAGGTTTTAGATAATGGCAGTGTGGAAGGCAAGGGGGGGGGAAGTTTAAATCAAGAGTTAGATTTTTAGATCATGGCATTGTGGAAGGCAGCGGGGGAAGTTTAAATAAAGAGGTCGATTTTAGATGATGGCATTGTGGAAGGCAAGGGGGGGGAAGTTTAAATAAAGAGTCATAGTTTAGATCATGGCAAGGGGGGGAAGTTTAAATAAAGAGTAAGATTTTAGATGATGGCATTGTGGAAGGCAAGGGGGGGGAAGTTTAAATAAAGAGTTAGATTTTAGATGATGGTATTGTGGAAGGCAAGGGGGTTTAAATAACGAGTTAGATTTTAGATGATGGTATTGTGGAAGGCAAGGGGGGGAAGTTTAAATAAAGAGTCAGATTTTAGATTATGGCAGTGTGGAAAACACGGGGGGGGGAAGTTTAAATAAAGAATTATATTTTTAGATCATGGCATTGTGGAAGGCAGGGGGGGAGTTGAAATAAAGAGGTAGATTTTAGATGATGTTATTGTGGAAGGCAAGGGGGGGGGAGGTTGAATCCCCTTGAAGGGTTTCTCAGTGTTGATCATTCCCCCGGCATGGTGCCGTGATGGTTCCCCCCCACCCAGCCTAAAGGGTTGAATCCCCTTGAGGGGTTTCTCAGTCTTGGTCAATCCCCCTGTATGGTACCCTGATGGTTCCCCCCCCCAACCTAAAGGGTTGAATCCCCTTGAGGGGTTTCTCAGTGTTGATCATTTTCCCTGTAATGTTTGTTTATGATGGGGTTCCAGAAGTGACGCCTCAGTACCAATGGGGAAACAGAAAACCGACTCGCCCTCGACGCCGAAAAGTGTTTTTTGTGCTGGAAGTGAGTCAATGTTTGGTGTTGGGAGTGAGTTCTTGGTGTTGGGAGTGAGTCGGTGTTGGAAGTGAGTTGATTTTTGGTGTTGGAAGTGAGTGGTTAACCGTCATGGTCGGCGCAGGTGATTAGCTCTTGAGGCGTAAGTGATTAGTTCTTGAGGCGTAAGTGATGCACGGAGGCGTAAGTGATGTGGAGGCGCAAGTGATGTAAAAGTGGAGGCGCAAGTGATGTGTTAGCCATTAGATTAGATATGATTAGATTATAGACTAGATTTGGATCGCTGAATTTTGAGATTTGGTGTGTATATATATATATAATTATATATAATATATAATTGGGTAGTCAACTTACGTTAGTTTTGATTAGGTTGGATGATATTGGATAAGCCAGAAACCATAACTGATACATAGATAACTGATGACAACAGGCATGTTCAAAGCTTTGGATGTTGTAGAATCTTGTTGTAACTGTGCCCAGACCTTATATACTGAGGCCAGGCCCAATGCAGCAGGGCATCTGTGAGGATAGCAAGTGCACAAAGTACGGAACATTGATATACGATGACACACCTACATCAAATCCATTCAAATGCCTCGTTGCCTTACTTCAACTATTAGTTTGATGTTGTTGGGAGCGCAAGGGATTTTTGAACTCGAGGTCCGATAGTCTTCTTAGACCTTGTTAGTGGTATCCGCCGATCCAACTGAGAAATCAGTCAATGTCTGTTGCAACGACCCTCAGCCCAACCAATCTTGGATACCCTGCATTTTGTTACAGTACCCACATCAACCAGCAACAGATCAGTATGTACGGTACCAGGTTTTTCAAGTACCATTTTCAGAGGGCGAACAAGACATCGTTACACGACCATTTTCTTTCGGTAACGACATGGAACAACCAATGGTCGGCGAAGATTCCACAAGGCAACCAGCAGTGAGCAACCGATCCAACGGGCATAGCCCGCCATTGCACGATGTCCATGATGTCCGCGGGGTGAGAACCATGAACCAATCACTAGCCCATCAACAGAGCTTGAATTGCTGGAATCCAAAAATGCATAGACATGCATAAACATGCCATGTCCACGAGAGGTAGGGAATGGGATGGAATGGGTTACAAACTCAATTCAAAAAATTGATCTTGACTTTCAGGGTGTGTGTATATACTCCAGAGAAAAAGATGTTGGAAGCCACAAGGTGTCCGGTGACATTCCACGCCAGCAACACAGTTTCAATTGCCCATGACATCACAAAGCTCCACTTGGTTATCAACGTGTCCTTCAAATCAAATAAAAAGTTTGAAGCCAACAGGAACCAATGCACTGCTGATTGTTGCTAAGGTTCAAATGAGGTGTTCGCGTGCGTAAGCTAACGCATATAGCTACTGTTTTGATTGCACTTTGAAGGACGAAGCATGCACAAAGTTTTTTGGTTTCATGTGTTTCTTTGTTTTCAAAAAAAAAGGGATTTGGGGTAGAAATGCATTTTTCGATACATTTGAAACCACCACCAATAAGTCATCATTATGGGACACAAGTCACTTTTTTGTTCGGTCGATGCGTTCGTCTCACGAGTTTGGTCAATGGCTCGTGAGTTCTCACGCGTTCGGTGCAAACTCTGTGGGACTGGAAACACTCTAGATTTGTTTGCAGGGTGCTGGCGAACAACAGTATGGTGTTCCTTTCTGGCATTGAATCGCCATTCCTGAGGTGTTTCAATCAGATTTACGTAAATTGCTTCAAGTGGCTTCAACAATCTGATTGTATATCCCATTCTATTCCCATGAATCATTCACTGAATCACCATCAAACATCGATATTTCTGACTGTGAAATGAACAATCTCCATGTCTGGTCCTCGAATCTGAAACCTCCCCTCTCAGCATCGCTGAGTGAATGGCCTGGATGAGCCAATGGCAACCCATTTTTTTGGGGCACCCTCCGGTGATTTCGGCCAACGTCGACATGGCGATTTCATGGGATTGAACCAACACAAGAGGTTACTTGATAGGATTGAAACAACAGAAATGGTGATTTGATGGGATATTTTTTAGGGATATCATGGGGATACCTTTGGGCAATCAAACATGGTTGGGAAATCCCCAAACTAAATGGAGAGGTGAGTGGGAAAATCATCGAACTACTACAAAAGGATACACAAGGTGGATTTTTCAGCAAGCCATGTCTGATTACAGGAGGATTTGATAAACGTATAGTGTCCTCTGGCAATTTAGCATACGAATGCCAAAGAACACATTGTTTGTAGGTAAATCAACTAAATGTGCATTTTCAGAGCTATATTAAGTTACCGGATATTAAATAATGGGTTTGCCTGAGAACAGGATACCCACCAAAATCCCATGGTTAAAACTAAAAACTCTCCCTACTAATCGGTAGATCATAAACTGATGGTATATACAAATCCATATTAATCAGAGTGTCGCTTGTATATCCCATTACATCCCATGAAATATCCCATGAAATGATGGTATTCTTAAAGTGGGGAATCACCAAGTCACCATGGAGTTTCAAGTTTCAATACTAAAATCAAATGGTCGACTTGAATGATTTTTTGGTACCCCTATTCTAACCCTCCAAATATTCTATTCCACCCCTACAAGCTTGGTGGTCTTCAAGCCCGGAAAAAGCCCTTAGGTTCGTTGAGGTACAGGCGCTAAGCTATGCAAGACGATGCAAGAGATGAACCTTAGTGAAGTCATGGAAGAAATACCAAGGGATGGGATATGATTGAGAGTGAACCATAGTGAACCTACAAAACTTGGCAAGACTTTGTGATTTTAATGGAAAAAATCACCCAAATTGAACAAAACTGGTTTGAACCAACAATACCTGGCAAACACGTGGATTTATCATGATTCATCTATGCAAAATGGGGCACAAAATTTTGCCGGCCATAGTTTTTTTTTAATTGCTTCACCAGCCCAGCCCGGCCCCTGAGACGATATCCCGATTAAGTATGTGTGCATAATTTTCAGACACACCCTCCATCACCCTACTATGGGTATCGAAAATCGGCCTCTTGAAACAACCATGGGTTTAGGGTAGCCTTGATTTTGGGATCTACCCTCTGGTAATTTAACATAACTATGGAAAATCATCATTTTTCATGGGGAAATCCACTATAAATGGCCATTTTCAATAGCTATTTTGACATAACCAGAGGGTACCTGATCTAGCCATCCAGCAACGCCTGCGTGGCATCACCACGTAAGCCGCTCATGGTAAGTCTCCGACGCCACGCTGAGTCACGATGATGTCGCTCAACCCCCCGACCTGCGATCACTGGGAATCCCAGCGAGAACTGGGGCAAGAAGGACGCGCCGGATCTTAGAAAATCCACATCGGGATGTAAGTAACAAACAAAAACACAACAAATATATGTGTCATTATGTGTCTATCCAATGATTTCAGAGGCTGATTGACTAGTGACCGTGAATATACTGGGGACTATCCTGATGATTATCTGAGTTACAAGGGGTGAAATGTAAATGGGTTCTATGACCCCTGGAAAAAAAAAACACTGGGATATAACAGCTGACGCACCAAAGTCCCCCGGCAAACTAGGATTGTGTCATGTTGTGTCATTCTTAGTTGAACTTTAAATGGGACCACACCAGTGTGTCACAATTGGGTCGACGCAAACTGTTTGATACTTGCTTTTAACATACAAAAAGCTACAGCCTCTTAGCAAACATCAGATGTTGATCATCCGTTGCAGGTCTTCAACCCTAAACCACCCACCAAATTTCAATAAGTTGATCTAGGTTGATCCTACAGTGGGTGAACAGTAACTACAGTTCCGAAAAAAACATCGCCACCAAGCTGCAGGAAGTTCAAAGGCCACTGCATCAAAGTCCTGAAACCAAGGCTCCGGGCACCGAAAATGTGGAATTGTATGGGAGCGTTCATGGGAGTTAAAATGGGAGTTTTTTTGGGACTTGAACTATGCTAATAACTATGCAAACTAGTGATTCAACCATAATTTAGGGTTAAAATGCGGATTCAACTGGGATTTGGTGGAGGTTTCAGCATTAAAACTAACCATTGAACCATGGAGGTTTAAATTGTAAGTTATACAGTGACCGACCATGACATTGGGGATATTTTATGGGATATATCACCAACAATATGATATTGGGGTGTGTGTCTGAAATTGGGTGATGGACCCCTAAATTGGCGGCCATGCTGACGAGAGTATCAACACAAATAAACAAGATTATGTGAAGTGAGCAAAGAAAATGCGAAAACAGTCAAGGAACATGAGGGGCAACATGATCAAGCATGGTCTCAGGACTTGGTTTTTGTTGAAAATTCTTGTGGAAACAGGGAAAAATGATAAATCTAAACACTTTTTTTGTTGTTTCCAAATATCCACCGAACGTGGTTGACGCCTTACAGACGCCCATCCAGCAGCCCCGCATCGCCTTCCCATGTTGACCTTGATTGATCCATCCTGCGAAGGACGTAGGGGTTATATGATGTGAAACGGACAATGATGTTTCGCCAATCAAAAAGTACGGAAATTCAGCCAAGGATTGAAAAAACATGAATTATGTATATATCCATGATATAATCCATGATATAATCCATGATAATTATCCATTATAATTTAAATTATAATTATATGCCAATGAATCTAATGGATCTGAAATGATTTTTCAAAAGAAATGGACACGGCGTCGTTGGTTCGTAAATCACCAAGACATGGGGATGTCATTGGATATAATGGGGATTCCCTAGGAAAATGGAGGTTTTAATGGGAAAACCATAGGAAAACCATAGGAAAATGGAGGTTTACCCTCTGGTAAACATACAAAAAGCTATTGAAAATGGCTATTTATTGTGGATTTTCCCATGAAAAATGGTGATTTTCCATAGCTATGTTAAATTACCAGAGGGTATACATATATATATATATATATGTAATGGGACCAACAATATGATGTTTGGGTGCCTCTGAAAATGGAGTATACCGGTATACCCAAATGATGAACCTATTCTCAGCAGGCTTTTAAGCTTAAAAAATAATATAGATACATATATATATAATATAATGTCAATAACAGAACAGTCTTGGACATGACTTGATTTGGGTGTATTGACACGCTTCGTAATTGGTTGGGGCAACCTTTGTATCATGGGTCGTACCCAGGAATATGATGCTGGAACATCCACCATTTCATTTTGCCCAGAAACTGCCCTCATTCCAACGGGGCTCCCATCTTTGGATCTCCCTTGCCCGCACAAATCACCACCAGGCCCGTTCCCTTCAAACCTAGATCTGACAAGGACCCATTGGTCGCAGACTTGCAGTCTGAATGTTCCTGCGGATGTGCAAACTGAAGTTGGACCATGGACAATGGTCCAAAAAAAACATTTTACCAGTGGTCAACATCCCAAAACAACAGGGAAACTGTGGGCGTTGGTTCTCAAATCTTGTTTGGGACACCTTCCCCGACATCAGGCACCTGAATCTCACATGTGGTATATGCCAAACAGAATGTCAGATAGAATGTCAGAATATATATATATATATTATATTTATATATATATACGTATCGAATATATACTTCCAGATGGTATGTCAAAATAATGTGTCAGGGTGGGAATCACTCGAAGAAAGTAATGAAGTTTTTGGCATCGCTTCCGGCAGGAAGAGTGGATTCTTTTTGCGCAGAGAATAGCATGAAAGTCGCATTCAAACATTGTGGGAAATTGCAGCCCTCAAACAAATCTAGCATAATTACTGCTGAAGTGGGAGCTGCAGTATGCTGCAGTGGTGGGATTTCGCTAGCACTGAAGTAGTGGGAATTTCCACCCAGGTCGATTCATCCAGTGGTGGAAGCGCGTCATGAAACAGCCATGGAGTTTCACCGTTGGGAACATGTTGTTGGCAGCTGCAGGGGTTTGGATCTTTATTATACATATATATATATCAAATTTCATACATACATTACATTACATTACAGCACAGTACATTACAGCACAGTACATTACATTACATGAC